CCGCGTAATTTTACCGAAAAATTAACTGTCCAATTTGCGCGGACAATCGTGCAGCTTTGGTAAAAAATACCAGAAATGTTCGCTGCTAGCTTCGAAAAATGTGCAAAACAACATCCTGAACCCCGTGCCACGTGGACCCATCCCGCGACACGGTAGTGTTTTGCCGTCAAACGGGAGCAATTCCCGTGTCGCGGGAATTTTTGGAACAAACAAATTCCACGCGCTTCTTTTCACGCGCCTGAACACCGTTGCTTAATAACAGAAAATGTGGAACGGTAACGGGGTCATGCAACAGTTACTTTTGGCTTTAAATATCAACCATTTCTCCCATTTTGCTCACTCAACATTTATTTTTCTTGTCTTGTTTTCACCCAAATTTTTTTCTTTTTTAACTGCTCGGATTCCCGTGTCTCGACGGCGGCTCACCGGCGCTCGGAGTTTGTTTCCGTCAGACGGAGTTCTCCTCCGTGGCGCGGCGGCGCTGCTGGTTCGTATTTCCATTTCTTTTTTTTTTCTTCACTGAGATTTTGTTGCTGCTCGTTTCTGCGTTTGCTGTCGCTGTCGCCTAAGGTTGCCGCTGCTATTGCCGGAGTTCCGCTACAACCCAAACTCACCGTGACACGGCTGTTCTTACCGTGTCACGACGGTCGTGCTGCGGTCTTCACGGCTGTTCGAGCTTTTTGGAGCTCAAATCTTCATCAATTCTGCTCTAATTTTTTGCTACTTTCCTCATTTCCGGTTCTCTACAAGGATCTATGTAAGTTTCCCTTGATTTTGCCTTGAATTTTCTTCATATGAGTAATTTCATGAAAAACCCTTAAAAATCAATTTGGGGATTTTTTGATTTTGAGGTTTATGTTGAAATTCTTGCTATGAATTTAATTGCACATGTATGTATGCGTGTTTGTGAGCTATTTGAGACAAAAATTGCATGATTTGGTGAAGAATTGAGCAAATCACCATTTTTTATACTACTTGTGGTAAATGGTGTTCCTTGTTGTTCATGTTGTTCTTTTGCACTTGAGATGATGACATGTTGGTTGTAGATCTTGTAAAATATGCTATGATGCGTCGATCCATTGTTTTTGTGCAATTTTGAGACATGTTTTGTGTTGTGTATGTATTACATTGTCATGGAGAACATAGTGTCATGCAATTAGGAGAACATAGTATTAGTTCGTCATGGAGAAACTAGATACTATAAATAATTCCATAATTTTGCCAATTTTTAGCCTTGAGGTAAAAATTTAGCGTATAATGCAATAAATAACTAAATAACTTAGGAAGTGATGCTAAGCATTTAGATTTTTTATTAAAAAGCAACTCGATATAAATAACTAAATGTCTTAGGAAATGATGCTAATCATTTAGATTTTTTATTAAAATGCAACTCGATATAGATAACTAAATGTCTTAGGAAATGATGCTAAGCATTTAAATTTTTATTTTTATAATAGCATGCCTAGACGACGAAATCGCGATCTTTCTACCCATGGCCGGCGTCAGGCTTTTCGGGAGGACACTCCCACGATTCCCGAGGGTATGGATGACGACGCGTTAGAGTCTGAGCCTCGGGCCTCTACGGGTAGAGGCAGGTGGGTTCCACCTCCGTGGACTTCAGACCAGTTGGTTTTCTGTCGTGAGAACCACGTTTCTCATCGCCCACTTGCCGGCATAGTTGACGACATGCTTCGCCACCACGGTTCTGGAGCCGGAGATTTGATTCCTCGACTTTACCAGATTATCACGAGGGATCCTGCTACGAACGCCTTATGGGAATCCGTTGGTTTAGTGGACTTTTATTCGGCGGCCGTAGGGTTTTGCAGCCCCCGGGGTTGTGGTGCTACAGTTGTTCGCGCATTGTTGGAGTATTTTTGGGATACTACCAACACCTTTCACTTTGCTTTGGGGGAAATGACGGTGACCCCTCTGGACTTTAGCATAATTAGCGGTCTACGCTTCAACGACCGGGCTGTAGCACAGATGTCTGATCTTTCTTGGGGAGCGGCTGAGGCAGCCGATTTGTTAGGTCCGATCGTTCAACATATCAGGACCCAGCTGGTGTCTCGAGGTGGTCCTAGGAGCGGGCGATCGGAGCTAGCTTCGGTTTTAGACCGTGGTTTTGACATGGAGAAGACGTCAGCTAAGCAATGAGTGCGGATCTTCATTTTGATTCTCATCTCCATGACTCTTTCTCCTGATAGGAGTTCACGTGCACTCCTTTGCTACCTACCTTCTTTAGACAAGATCAGTGAGATAGGATCCTTTTAGCTGGGCCAGCCTCGGATATGCTGACCTTCTCTTGTCGTTACGTCATGGCTGTAGGTAGCTGAACGACGAGTCTCCCGTCACTGTCTACGGTCTATGGAGAGTCGTAGAGGTGACGATCCTTTCCTGTTCTTGTTTTATTTTAATTTGTTCGACTCATGTGCTCAAAGATTACTTTTCATTGCAGCTATATGGTTCTACGAGTACTTCCCAGGATTAGCTCCTCGACGGCGTCGTGGAGCGGTTCATGACTTCCCTGTCGGGGCCAGCTGGCGTGACCGAGGAGAGTCACGGGTGGAGTCAGTCTCTACGCTGCGTGGGCTGCTACGCCGAGGCACCTCTTCTGTTGGCGTAAGAATTAGTTTTGTTGCCTGTTATTTTCTCTTTGACGTTATTTTCGGTGTTTCATGCCAACTTTTTATGGTTTTCAGGTTGCCATTGATGTCCAGTATCATCCTTGGGCTGGGATGACTAATCTTCCCGAGGCCTTGCATCTTTCAGCGCACCGCACTATTTTGGTTGGTACCAGACGCTTTGTCTGGTATTTGGGGGAGCGTGTCGTTCGTCAGCATAGTGGTGATCGCTTTGTGGTGCCCTTATCTCCACCGGAGTCGATGCTGGACTCGCGCTTGCTTAGGGAGTTGATAAACAGGGGAGAGCGCTACACTTTTCCTTGGCAGGAGCTTGTGCACATGGAGGGTGATTATGCGCAGGACTTGCTTCCCTCTCTGGCTCCTCAACCTCGCCTTCCTGAGGTATGATTTCTTTTGAGGATTTTTGTCCCTAGTCTCTGTTTAAATAGTCGAATAACTTGATTATTCGATCGTATTTTCAGACGACTGTTGCCACGTGGGGAGGATTGATATTCCGCCTCAATCTGTCCGTTACCCAGGGCCGATTGGTATTATCGAGGACCATGTTGCTGACGCGCCAGAGGGTTTGAGACAGGCGCAGGAGTCTCTGCCCGAGGTTTTTGAGCCGGTAAGTTTTTGATGCATTATTCATCCTTTTAACACCGCTTGTTACTGATTTTTCTTTGTTTTGTTCTCAGCCTAACCGCCCGGAGATGATAGGACTCATGAAGCTGGTTGACGCTCTGAAGTACTGCATCATCAAGCTTCGGCGTGGTGCGAGTTGTTGGAGCAGTTCTAGCGATGTTCTTGAGGTATGCTCATTTTTTCCACTTCTACCATTTGTTTTATTTTGCATTGTTGACGCCTTTTGATTTTGTATCTTTTAGGAGCAACGGAGATCCCGCTTGCGCTTGAGGCATAGAGGCTCGGACGAGGGGGAGCTTAGTTGTGGTAGACGATCTCCTGAGGTTCATCGGCATTCTCAGTCTCAGCGGGAGCTTTAGATTACTCAGCCGTTTCAGGAGGCTTAGTGGCAGCAGCCTCAATCTTCCCAGCGCTTTCAGGGTCAGGGTCAGGGTCAGAGGCAGTCGTCTTCACAGCCTTCGCAGCCTGAGTTTAGGCCAGTTTTTACTCCCGTGGATCCTGGCTTATTTTCAGCTCCATCGCTGGGATTCGTCCACCGGTGTCGGGCTTGTTTTCAGTTCCAGTGTATGGGACGATGCCTCCCCCGACAATTACCATGTCTTTGAGTCAGTCAACACCGTTTGCTAGTTGGACATGTCCTGCTTTGAGTTTGACTGCTGCTGGAGTCTTAGGGACTAGTAGGGATACTACTCCCCGTACTCGGATGATGGCGGGACTCTTTGGCTCACCGTTCCCGTATTCACAGGCTGGAGGTGATACTGATCCTAACTCTTCTAGTTCTGCAGATTTTTGACCGAGGGTCTTTATTTGTACATACTGTGATGACACTTGACGCTGCTTATTTATTATGACTCATTTTGTACATTATTCACAATTTATGTATTTATTAATGTGTGTTAGTGTGTGCTTGAAACTCATTGTGTGTGATTGTGTATGTCGCGAAAAAAAAACGTAAGTGGAGGGTATCGACCTTCCCCAAAAGAAAAAGAAATAAAAAAGACAAGAATAAATAAATAAGTATATAAAGAAAAAATAGGAATAAAATGAATAAAATACTAAAAAAGATAATAAATAAATAAATAAATAAATAAATAAAAATAAAATAATAAAAATAAAAAGATAAAAAAGGTTGAGAATTTTATTGGGAATGAAACTCTCGAAAAACGGAAAAGTAAACGGTGCAGATAAAAACTAAAAAATTTTTGGATAGATACATGAAAAGATAAAAAAAGAAAACGCGTGGGTGCCGCGACACGACACTGTACACTGTGTCACGACAAAATCTGCCATGTTGCGGCAAAAAATCCCGTGACACGGTGGGATTCCCCGTGTCACGGTGCGCGTATTCTACAACGGTGTGGCTTACGCGTACGGAAAGATAATTTCTGAGTAGTTCCGAGCGCTTTTGCTATAAAAAAATGTCTCATAGAACCATTTTTAGGTGTCTACACAACCAGTTCCAGATATTGATATGAGTTTGGGTGTTGATCCCAATTTAGTTGTGAATGATTTATTGAAACTTGGTGAGCCTAATGCTGAAGGTTGTTCAGAGAAGCAACCAGAGAGTGTTGCTGTTGGCGTACCCTTTGTTCATGCTCCTGTTGCTGATGTATTTGAGAAGTTTGCTTCTCAAAAACAAGTAGGGATTGTTTCTTCTAAGAAGCAAGACGTAGGGAAAACGACAAAAAAAGGAACAAAGGAAATGCTTCTGTGTTTTTCAAAGTTAAAAGTTCAGCATTCTGATTGTTTAAGTGATGGTGAGGAGTCTTCTATAGATAATGAATGTAGTACTAGTTCTGAAGATCATTAATTATGTGATATTGATTGTGGTGCTGCTGGAGATTATTCTTTACAGTTAATATCAAGGTTTTTGAGAGTTTATAATCCAAAAGCTAAGAGAATGAAGAGTTTAAGGCTTCAGGTTGCTGATTATTGCTTTGGTGACAACTATGAAGGTGTTGATATGATGTAAGTTTTAGGGATTTCTCTATAATTGAATATATATATATATATATATTGAATTTTTTTATTAAATAATTATTTTAAATTCTGTGAAACAGGGAAGTTTTGGTGTTTTTTTTCTCGGAATTTTATAATTTTCCGCGTGAAGAATTAATGACATTGATAGAGGAGGAGCTTATTTCAAGTCGGATTATGAACTGTTTTTTTTTGTTGCTGAATTATCTTCAGTGCCAAAAAGCAGCTACTGTTGCCAAGTTATATTTTGGTGGTGAACATATGGTAATTTCAATGTTATACTTTGTTGACTTTTGTTATATTATTAAATATTATATATAATATCATTTTAACTTATTTCTATTTTCAGTTACCTCTTTTGCGCTGTATATTCAATGGAGAAGGATGCTCCTTTGAACAAGAAATTTTCGGAGCATGGGATCAATGGCTTGATGCTGTTAAAACTATTGCATTTTTTCTATGCAAAGCTGGTATGTCATTTAATTTTATGACAACAAGTTACTAGATAGCATATTTGCATTACTTGATATTATGTATAAGAGTTACTTGATGTTGTTTCATGTGCTTGCTTACTTAGGGTTACTTGATATTATGTATATAGGATTACTTGATAGTATTACTTCTTGATAAGTATTAGGATTACTTCTTATTATTTATATGGGTTTTTTTTGTGATAAAAGTGACTTAGTTGTTGGTATGTATAGAGGTTACTTATATTATTTATTGGGGTTACTTGATGGTATATAAGGTGTTACTTGATATTTATTAGGATTAATTATTATTTATTGGGCTTATTTGTTGGTACAGGGGTTACTTGTTGGTATATACAATGGTTACTTCCTGTAATTTATTGGTGTTAATTGATCTTATATATAGGGGATCACTTATTATTACTTGTTAGCATATCATTAGTAATTAATTTTATGTTTTTTTATGCAGCTTTTTATTCCCATCTACTATTTCAATCATTATTCTGTTGTTGTGATAAACTTCATCAACAACTCTGTTGATTATCTCGACAACAGAAGATATTTCTTGGGTGTTGGAAGGAATATTACTAGGACTTTTGATGAACATCATACCTGTTATTATACTCTTGTTTGGTATTTGGTAAGTTTATTAATCAAGCATTTTATTTTTTTTATTTATACTTTGTTCATTAACTGATCTTTTTTGTTGTTTATTTCAGAGACACCACTTTTCAAAGTATCTGGTTTTAAAGAATCATTATCAAGGGGAACTTGTCAACTACATCTCCATAGATGCTATAGTCTTCTCTCATTTGTGAGTCCCTCCAAAAAATTGTTGTAAGTTTGCTTGAATTATTTACCACCGCCTACTTTGAATCTGTAAAAGAAACCAGGTTCATTTTCTTGTCTTTGGTAAAGCCTGTCTACTACTGTCTGTGCATCACCTCCTTCAATTTATTTAATTTTCTTCCTTGTTATATAGTTGAAGTGATCTTTCATTGTGTGTGCTAACACGTTTTCACCACCAGCTTCATGAGACATTAGATGATAAGATTTTGCTGGCTTTAATCCACTTTCTGCCATCATGTCTATAACTTGTGCTTTTTCTTTTGTTATTTTTCTCTCTGATCTATGTAAATGCTGCCATTCTGGTCTTGTTAGTTCATGGTTGTGTTTCATCATATGCTCTTCAATTTCAAACACACCATCACTATTTTTTTTGCTCTAATGAATGCTTTGCAGCCAGTTCTAGTGATAGGCACTTGCTTCACTCTCTTCTGTTTTTGGTCAGGTGGAGGTGGAGTTTTTCTCACTTTTGGTTTAACTCTGAATCCTTCCTTTGAACAAACAAAGTCTTTCCCTTTGATGATTCTGGGTTCTCCTTGTGTGTATCTAGTTGTTGATTGTCTTACCCCAAATCCAATAGCAAAAGCATGTTTTTGATATACTTCATATATTTCATCCAAAGTTTTTGCAGTATAGCCAATAAGGCATCCAGTGTAGTCCAATTCATGCTGGTCATCATGTTTACTTTCTTTTGTCAGAGTGCTTTTACTTGATTCTGTAAGAAAAAACAACATCAGATTATTGAGTAATGCTTTATATATTGGTCTAGGGTAATATAACTAAATATAATAATGGTTACTTCTTGTTGTTTATTGGAGTTACTTATTGGTATAATGAGGGTTACTTCTTGTTAATGGGGGGTTACTGTGCTAATTGAATAGAATATTGTGTGTTACTTGTTTTAAATTGGAGTTACTTGCATAGTATAGTAGGGGTTACTGGGTGTTACTTGAATAGAATATTGGGTATTACTTGTTTTAAAATGGGATTACTTGCATAGTATTGTAGGGGTTACCTATATTACTTGAATAGTATACTGGGTGTTACTTGAATAGAATACTGGGTGTTACTTGGTTTAGATTGAGGTTACTTGCATACTATTATAGGGGTTACCTGTATTACTTGATTTCATTTGGGGTTACTTGCATAGTATTACTTGTTTTTTCAATAGGGGTTACCTGTATACTACAATGTAGGTTACCTATTAATAAGTTTGATTATTATATGTTTGGTTATTGAATTTTCAAAAAATGGGTTACCTGTTTAGTGCTATATGTAGGATTTACTTAATTAATTAAGTAGGTTTTACTTGATTCAAGGATTTGTTGTAGGTGTTACTTGAATAGAATACTATGTGTGTTTTAAATTGTAGTTACTTGCATAGTATAGTAGGGGTTACTTGCATAGTATAGTAGGTGTTACTTGAATAAAGAACTGGGTATTACTTGTTTTAAAATGGGATTACTTGCATAGTATTGTAGGGGTTACCTATATTACTTGAATAGTATACCGGGTGTTACTTGAATAGAATACTGGGTGTTACTTCTTTTAATTTGGGGTTACTTGCATACTATTGTAGGGGTTACCTGTATAACTTGAATAGAATACTAGGTGTTACATGAATAGAATACTGGGTGTTACTTGTTTTAAATTGGGGTTACTTGTATACTATTTTAGGGTTTACCTGTATTACTTGATTTCATTTGGGAATACTTGCATAGTGTTACTTGTTTTTTCAATAGGGGTTACTTGTATACTACAATAGGAGGGGGTAATTTTTATGGGGGTACTTGTTTTCACAATAGGGGTTACCTATTGTAGGGAATAATTCAAGCCTTAATCCCACTAGCTTGAACCCCACTGTGATCATACACTAAAGTATGGTGGCGTCCAAAAGGGAAGAAGGTAGAGCAAAAGAGTCGCCAACAAGTTTTAGGAACTTGTAAACCGTTCACGAGGTGAAGGTTACACCCCTTAACGATCCAAGAGATCGTCAACTCCATAAGGTCTAGAACCAAATAAGGGTTCAGGGATGAAGGTACAAATCCAACCTAAAAGAGATTGAATCTGCCCTAAAAATAGGCCTCTACTTTATTCTGATCGTATTCATGTGCGCTTCTTAATTAACATGCAATCATTAGGATTAACTTTAAACCTGTTTAATCTATGTTGGTTGAATTTAATGCAAAAATAAACTATTATTGGCGATCACTTGAATTATAATCATATTAACCCTAAACAAGATTATTGATTATCTTATTAAGCGTGATTACAAGTACAAATTCCCTTTAAACATGCATAAAAGGTGTGATCAAGCGATAACAATAAATATTAAGCAACATAACAAATTAATTATAATCATGAATAATAATTATAAATAAAATAATCATCATCAAAATAATAATAATAACAATAATAATATTCATAACCATCATAAATTATAACGATTATAATCATAATCATGTTCATGTTAATATTAAAGCATAATAAAAATAGCAAGATCCTAGGCATGATACTAACAAGATTAATAACAAACCCTAGCATGTCACTAAGTAATAAAAATCAAATCTTTAACCCTAACATGATACTAACATGAATAAATATTAGGAAGAACATAAGAAGCATCGCAGGAATCATAATAAGCATATTTGATATTAAAATTACCCTAGACATGATACTAGGAATATCATAATAACAATATAAACATGATTTCTACATCATAATATCAATAAATCAATTAAAGTACTTACATTGATTCCTCGTATCTCTTTCTAATTACAAAATACACACGTTAGTAACTTCAAGGAAAATAATAAATAAACAATAAAATTAAATAGTTGAAATAGAGATTTGGGACCAAACCCTCAGAAATTAAACCTTTCACGTCTAGGGCGAAGGCAACTTTGAATATGGCTAGGTGTTTCTAGATCTTGTGAATGCGGAATTTTGTATGAAAACAAAGTAAGAAAGAAAGAGAGAGAGAAAGAGAATAATCAAGAAAACTTGATGAGAATTGGTGAATGATTGATGTAGATGATGAATGATTGTAGGTGAATGAAAACGGAATTTTTGATACGATATTTATAGAGAAAATCAGCCAAAAAAGATAATTTAACAAAACAGAGTCTGACGCACGCAAAACGAGGTTGGCGCTAACCCTGGCTAGCTGGCGCCAGGCGCTAATGGCTAGCGTCTGGCGCGAAGCCTGGTTCCAGGCGCCAAGGCCTGGGGTTGGACGCCAGTCTTGATTTTAACGCGTTTTCGAAAATCCGATAAGTTTACCGTACTGGAGGATAAAATAATATAATTTCTTCGAAAATGCTATTTGATTTTGATTAAAACTCTGAAAAGTCAACAAATTCAACTTATCAATGCTAATTGAATTAGGAATGAAAAGAACCTTCTAGAAGACTAAAACCATTCCTAATTTCATTAGGAATGATAAATCATATTAGGCCCTCCCCTAGATCATTGGGCCGCATATAAAGCTCAAACCGGGCCCAGTTTAGTAAATTGGCCATAACTTCCTCAAAATTCATCGGAATTGGGCTTATAATATATCGTTGGAAAGGTATTTGCAAGCCCCATACAACTACACTACTATTGGACCCATATCATGGACCAAACAATTTGGATTGACTGTTTTCTTAAAATAAGTTTTCAAAAACAGAGAGAAGAGAAAAGAAATAAAAACTTTCCGCAACACTAGACCTTTCCACACTTTCGTTTCATTCGATTATGATTCGACGTGAAAGGTACTCATCACTGGGTTTGTGTAAATTTTTTTACAGATCCGTAAAATTTTAGATGTAAATGGCAGCTTTTGTTTAGGGATTTGTGTAAATGTGGGCTTTTTGTTAACTCAGCATGAATTTTAATTTTGGCAACTGAATCCTGTTATTTTTGGGAAGTGAATCCCGTTATTTTTGATATGGCAGCTGGCCACATGGTGTGGCCAGCCATACCAGAGACCCATTGTTCCTTTTATAGTTGTATTTTATTATTTTTTTCAATTTCCTTTTTTTGGAAACCTTTCACAATATTTTATTAATTTCTTCTCTTTTAGTGAACCTTAACTATCATAATTCAATATTTCCATAATTTATTTCATTCCAATTATCATGCTTTATTTTACACCAACCCCACTTCCTTGATATTTTACTACTTTCTACTGTTTCTCCTAAACTCCTTCCATAGAGAAACAGAATAAGTAATAAAATACGGAGGGATTAATTTAAAGAACATATGGACCTTAAAAAAATATATGTACAAGCTAATAACAAAAAGAAATAACTCATAAGAACAAAAAGTGATAAAACAAAAAAAATCTAGGACCAAGTTATATATAGGACAAAGTTATAATGAGAACCAAGGCTAAAATAAGTAGTAAGAACTAATCTAGGCCCTTAAATTATGTTAATCGGACGGCTCACATGATTCTCATGTCATTAATGACATTTTCGTAATATTTGAATGTTACAAACTGATTCCCAGTTTCATTTCTTAAAAGTAAGTGAAAAGTTAGTAAAAGTAAATGAAATCCGTCATAAAGTAAATGAAATTGCCTTAAAAGTTAAAAAAATGGAAAAAAAGTTTGAAAATCTGCAAAATTACGAAAAATTCCATTAATGAAAACGGGTGAGATGTGAGCCGTCAGATGGAGCACGATTGAAGGCTGAGATTAGGGTCATCCCACTTTGGAAATTAGGGTCATCTTCCTCTCTCTCTCGTACTCTGATGGAGCACGATTGAAGGCTACTAAACCTGTATGCCCAGCCCACTTTGGAAATTAGGGTCATCTTCCTCTCTCTCTCTGCCGCTCGCTATTCCTCATTCCTCTCTATCTCCTCTCTTGCTGTTCCTCTCTCTCTTCGTGCCCCTCTCTATCTTCCTAGTTCCTACCTTCTTCTTCCTTGAGTTTCTTCACGGATCTGCCCTTCACGAGTTCACGGATCTCAGGTAATTTCTATGT